AGGAAGGATCAATGACACTAACATATAGAGCTAAATGCTCCATACAAATAAGATAATTAGGAATTGAGCATCGCTACATATTGGTATATGTCAAAAGGATATAATAGAGCTATGTAATGACATAGAAAGAATGCACTAGAGCTTTTTGATGCTAATGGCAATCACATCTATTGTACCACCCAATCTAGCATAAGAGATTAGTGGACTTGGCGATGTAGTGTCTCCCAGCACTACAATGCTCTGTCTATCCAAAGGGACACTTAACTAGCAAGTGGAGGGAAAGGGTCCATCGGTGTATCCTTAACACCAGTCGCCCCTGCATGAATCCTCTTCCTAGAAAAAATCTTTCCCACCAATTGTAGCTCTTCCGATTGGGAATCATCTGGTTTCTAGACCAATAACAAGGGAAAAAAGCCATCTTCGTCTTTTGTAAGGTGAACCCGACTAAGTAATGTTTTAATTTCACCACCTATCATCCCCAAATCGATAATGGAACTACCAAACCTCACCCCTCTATTCCACCACAGCCCTCCCAAAATCGTTCCCTGCTGTCGCAACACTCCAAGTCATAGATCTGAACCTAGATCTGAAAGCACTCCCCAGATCTAAACAAAAGGAGTCAAAACTGTGAGGGAAAACACAAAAACGCAAGGGAAAGGCAAATGCGAGGAGAATAACAAGCAATAGACAAGAAAAAAGGGACTCCTATGCCAGAGAGAAATCCTGAAGGGGAAACATGTCGCCTCCAAAACTCTAGGGATTTTAGAGCACAGGAGGAACTCAACAATATTCCCCTTTCTAAGATCTGCCTTTTTACATAATCTTATTTTTTCCTCTCTCCTACTCCACCACTGTTTTGCAATTGAAATCAATCTCTTATAAATACAGATCGAAATCAAATTTGCATTGCAATTCAAAGTACAAACATTGAAAAACATGGCGTGTGGGATGCAAAGTCAACTTTTTCAAAATCAATCAAGATTATGAAATCGTGTCCTGGGCCATGCGACTGCAAAGTGCAACGTACTGTGGGCCCTTTGTAGCAAAATGAAATTAATGCATGTATTCTTCTAATAATGCATGAATTCCTGGCGGTAGTTTTTTTTTTTTTTTTTTTTTTTAACTATCGTAAAAATATATAAATATCAATTAAAATTTATAAAACTATATAAAAAATTAATTAAAATTAATTAAGGATTAAAAATTTACATTCTTAGATTAATTATGTGCACTATGAATAGTCTGAAACGAGCCCCAAATAATACTCCATGTACACTCTACTACCCATTTGTCTTTTTTTTTTCTTTTTTTTAAGCCGACTACTACGCATTTGTTTGATATAATGATTTAGAATATATTGCTCCCTCCTTCAATTTCAATTGTCTTATTTTTTGTGATGATTTAAATAGTTTAATTTTTTTTTTTTTTTTGAAAGTAAAAAGTCTTATGTTTGGATTATATGATATGTGAATGTAGTGGTTTAAAGAAAAAAAAAGAGAATTATCTTTCATTGTACAACTCAAAATTAAAAAAAAAAAAATTGTCTTACTTTCTAATTTCTAATTTAAGGTGTTCAATTTCGTAATTAATTGTTGAGTATTTTTTTTTATTTTAAGATTATATTGGATGTATTTATTATTATTTTAAATTTATTTTTAAAAATTAATTATAACACATATTAGAATAAGCAAATTTATTTAGATAATGATTAATTATGAATAAAAAAACTTATAAAAAGTAATTATTAGATCGCTATTTTATTAGACTAGAGAGAATACATTCCAAATTAATTTTAGCATTGTTCACATAAGAATATATTATGTCACCGCCCAACTCCGGGTGGAAAAAGCTAGTTTTGAAAAATAGAACTCTCTCAAGGCTTATTGGGATTTCATACTCCTGAGGTAAGGGAAGGGACAACCTGCGGTGAGGCCTCTGTCTCCACATTGGGGCATTGCCTGAAACGTCCAATGAAGTTGGTGCTGCATCCAGCTACTCTCTCTTTTTTCAGCAATTCAATAATCTCATAATTCAATCTTCCATTTTCGGCTTCCAGTGTCTTCAGATTGGACTTTATTAACTGTCGTTTTCTTTCCTAAATGGACGACAATAATATTGTTTCCCCAAAAATCCTCTAGTAGTCTCGCATGTGTGAAATCTGGATGCAAATGTGCCACTTATTTTGCTGAAAGTAAAAAAGGAGGACTTTCTTAACGACCCTTTCCTTCCTCACGGTTAACTTCCTTGTGAATGGCGGGAAGAACATTGGATTAAAATTGAAATTTGTGCTTTCAAACAATTTGCAAGAGTGAGGAATACTTTCTTGCAAAATGGATTACGAAATCTGCTTTGGACAACTCCAATGATTTAAACATTACCGTGACTTAAAATTAACAAATTCTAATTGAACTAAATAACTTGCAATTTAAAATAAATTTACGAAAAATAAAATGTACCAAAATTAAATTAAACATGTTCATTGTTAAATTAAAATGTTATTTACTGACAGATCTAGAAATTAAAATGCTAAAGAATTAAAGATTTTACCCTAATTAACATTAAAATTAACATGAACAGTAATTAAACTAACATGCTTGAAATTGAAAGGAAGTGTGAATACCACATAAGTAATCATTGAATAAAATGCTACTTATCATAAATATTAAATTAATTGCAAATAGAAAGAGAACAATACCTTGGATAAACTTGAAAAATTGAAGTTCATTGCATGAAAGGAAATTGTTGAACTGAATATATGAATTAATCTATCTACTAGGATGATGAAAAACAACCTAAATCTACTGGAGATTGTGCTGAAATCTGAAATTTGGAAGCAATTTGCAGGGAAAGTAAAGTTTGAAAATTTGCAGATGTTTGAGTAGGGTTGGCCGTGTGTTCTCCCTTTCAAAATTTCTTTTTTGTTCTCCTTTGGTTGGTAGTAACCCCCACTTTCTACATTCACAAAGTTGTGGGTGGTTTCTTGAGGTAATGGGATAACTCACCTATTGACTTGGTTTGATTTCCTTCCAGATTTTTGCCACTTGTGCCTTTATCAGATAAAACCCCTCTTTAAATGCAATTCTCTCCTAAATTTTAGCTCAAACAGTCCCTTTTTATCTCAAAGAAATAATTACACAGTAAAATCTCATTTTTATCTCTCATTTTTTGCCAAAATGACAACTAATATGCCATGAGACCCACAATCACGAATCTGACATGGTTTAATCTCCTCCATCCATTTAAAAAATTTTGACACATGGCATGATCTTAAATTTTTGCAATTTATGGTGTAAACAAATATACAAAACGGTAAGAACAAAAGGAAAAGCAAGTTAACATTTGGTATCATTTGCAGAATTTTTTGAATAAAAAGAAATTCATGTTTTTAGGTCAAATTGAACTTTTAAAATATAATTTGAGTATTGAAATTATTAAAATTTTATTAATACAATAAGATAAAGAAAATACTTATTAAAAAATTTTAATAAATTTATAAATTAAAATACACTTTTAATGTGCAATTTTGATTAAAAAATACTTTTTCAAAATAAGTTAAAGGCAATCTTACATGTTGCTTCTTGTACTTGTGCTCCAATTTGCCAAGTTGCTTTGACTGGGTTTCAAACTTTTCATTGGCCAAAACATTGTCTTTTTTCAGGGATTTGTTTTCACGCTTTAATTCTCCATTTTCACTCTCAAGCCTCTCTAAATCAAACTTCATTTTATGTTGGATTTCCTGAACATACAAAGCATAAGAAAATTCAAGACTCTCTGAAGACCAAAAAGGAAAAAAAAAAAAAAAAGGAAATTAAGCTTCGTCCATACTAAAGGGGGCAAACTGACAAGTTGCTTGATGAAGTTTTGGTTCAACTCATCCAATTCTTTTGATTGAGTTTCAAACCTCTGATTCACCAAAGTATTTTCCTTTATTAAGGTGTCATTTTCAGCCTTTAGTGTCTCAAGATTGGACTCCATTCGTTGTTGTTTTTCCTGATATACCATAATTAAGTACATCAGAACTTTAAAAATAAATAAATAAATAAACGGAAGAAAAGAAAAGAAAAAATTAAATAAAGATACCTCCATTAATTCAATTTTAGTAGGTTAGTTTTTTTTAATCTAATAAAATAAAGATATAATTATTTTTTATAAAAATATAAATAATTAATTAAATTTTATATTTATTTCATATTAATTAGAACTTAATTTAACTTTTTTATTTAAAATATATATTGTAATTATTTTTTAAAATAAGATAAAATAAAAATAAAAATATTAAATGGCATATTAAAAAGGCTAAATAGATTAATAGAGTTAAATACCCCTAATTAAAACTTAGCTCTATCTCTATTAAAATTAACGGAGTATAAGATATGATAAAAGTACATCCAAGTTTCTGGATTTCTCCCCTTAAGGTGATCATATGAGTTCATTACCTTCACTCTGTCCCTATATGCTTTGTCGTTCCTTTTTTTCCTGGCACGCGGGTCTGCCGTAGTAACTCGATTAGTATTTCTTCTTGAATAAGAATCTGCAGGGGAAATAGGTGTAGCTGTAGGTTGACGTTGACGTTGACGTTGACGTTGACGTTGACGTTGACATGGACCCGAATGTTGTTGCCTTATCTTCCCTGCATCGGTTGCCGTCTGATTGTTGACCGGACCATTTGGTTCGGTGGAATCTGCCGAGGATATGTCCGCAGGTTGCCGTTCTTACCTCATCGTCTCTGTTTGAACTGCAATCCGATTGGTCCACAGGAGATTTTGCGCACCAATACTCAGCTCCTCATTTTGTAAATA